CACAGTTAGGGTGAACAGCTTGTAAGGATAATGTGCATGTAAGGTACATACATGCAAACACAAATCAATAAATACCTGCTACACAGCCAAGAGAAAGAAGTGTTCGGTTTGGCTCCCAGTCTTAGAGGTCTCAGTCCATAGCTGCTTGGCCCCATATGCTTAGGCTGGCCTCATGGCAGTCGTATTGAGGTACAGAGGCAAGCAGCAGCAGGGCAGGCGTGCAAGGGCTGGGGCCAGGGTATCCCTGGGATATATACCTAGTGACCTACCTCCCCCAGCTCAGCCTAACCTGAAGTTTCCAGAGCCTCACAAACAACAGTAGTATGGCTGTAAAAGGACAGCTCTGCAGACAAAGGCCATGGCTGCCCCTCCAGAGGACCCAAGTTCAGTCCCCACCACCCTCGTGACAGTTCACAGCTGTCTGTAACTCCAGTTCTGGGAGATCTTCTGGACTCTGGACGCCTGCATACATACTATGTGTACACATACCACACCAATGTACACATAAAAGTAAATCTTAAAAATACAGTACCATCAGCTGAGACTCAAGGGACCCAGCACCTGAGCCCTAGAGACATCCCGTATTCAAACACAGCAGCACGCTATGATCTCAAAGGGCACATAGCTGGTACCCTCCAAGGCAAGCAGAGCAAAGTAGGCGTGGTTTGTCATTAGGATCCAGAAAGTTCTCCAGAAGAATCTATGGCCTGGAAGGCCAGTGCACTTAGGAGTCACCTACTTTGTTTCTTTTTTCCTCCTGTCCTTGGGATGAAGTCACTACAGATCCTGGCCACCCAAAGGGACACTGTGTTCTCATCCACTGGGGAAAGAGTTCAACATGGCTCTAACCAGTGTTCCCCCAGCGCAGACCACAAGGTGTAAGGGAACCGTCTGGAACACACTCAAGTGGGTCATTTGTCAGCAGGGTAGGCACATGGTTCCCAGGAGTCAGGACTCAGTGCAGGGCTGCTGAGCCACAGTGGACCCTCCCTCTGTGTCCCCGCAGGCAGAGAATGAGGATGGAGCACAAGAGAACACCTTCTCCATGGACCCGCAGCTGGAGCGGCAGGTGGAGACCATCCGCAACCTGGTGGACTCCTACGTGGCCATCATCAACAAGTCCATCCGTGACCTCATGCCAAAGACCATCATGCACCTCATGATCAACAATGTGAGTGGTGGCTTCAAGTCACCAAAGGTCCTAGCAAGGCTCACAGGGCTGCAATTCAGCTCCAGGTGTTTTGCAGCATGCCGGTCAGCCCAGCACCAGGAGGAGGCAGGAGACTCAGAAGTTCACCAGCATCCTCTGATATGTAGCCAGTTTAGGGGAGCTTTCACTGCGTGAGACCTTGTCTCAAAAAACAAAACCAGGGCAAATGAGGGGGTTCAGAAGGTAAAGGCTCGTGTCCTGCAATCCTCATCTTCGATTCCCTAGAACCCACTCTTCAGAGCTGTCCTCTGACATGCACACACACACACACACACACACACACACACAGTTAATACATACTGCTAGCTTAAAAGCAAACCTAATTTTAAAAAGGTGTGCAAAGTTAGAACAGGTTGGTTGGTTTAGTAGCTTTTGGGATTGTTTGTTTTTTGGGTTTTTTGTTTTGTTTTGTTTGTTTTGTTTTTTTTGGTGTGTGGTTGGTTGGTTGGTTGGTTGGTTTTGTGGTGTTGGAGATGAACCCGAGGTATGATGAACCTTAGGTAATCACTGGAAGACTGAGCACCTCTGCTCCTTCTCTGGGGGATTCTAAGCAGCTGATCTGTGCCCCGATTGAGGGATGGATTTTAGGCAGAGGCTCTACAGCTAAACTTGACCCTCCCTCAGTCTGTGACTTTTCCAGTCTCAATAGGCTTCTGAGTTATCGCCTAGTGTAGGGGACTGACCTTTCCCACCACTGTCCTCAGACAAAGGCCTTCATCCACCATGAGCTGCTGGCCTACCTGTACTCATCAGCAGACCAGAGCAGCCTCATGGAAGAGTCAGCTGAGCAGGCTCAGCGGCGGGACGATATGCTGCGCATGTACCACGCACTCAAGGAAGCACTCAACATCATTGGGGACATCAGCACCAGCACTGTGTCCACGCCTGTGCCCCCTCCTGTTGATGACACTTGGCTCCAGAACACCAGTGGCCACAGGTCTGGAGGGCAGTTTGTCCCCCAATGTGCATATACAAGCTTAAGTTCCACCCTTCCTTTTCCCTCTGTCCTATTAGGAGACAGGTCACAGCTTGGAATGGGACAAGAGTCTTAACTGAACAACACCACGCACAGGACTGAGCACCTGTTCTGCTTAAAGCCACAGGGGTGCCAGGACCTCCAATGCCAACTGAGCTAAATCTCTAGAGGAGAAAACCGCACACCACAATTCCCCACCAACCCATGCATTTTCTAGTGCTTTCTTGATGGGCAAGTGGAAAACAAGAGCAAGAAGCCCAGGGGACAGTCGGCCTCCTAGAGCATAGAGAAGGGCCCAGGACAAGTCTCAGAAGGCTCATAGAACCAGGGACTCCATTGGCTTCAAGATGGGAAAGGTGGCCAGAGACACTAGGGCAGCCACAGTCCAGGTGTCAAAGCAGCAGTCAAGGAAGGTCAGTGCAGTGGGCCCTCTGAGGCTGCAGGGCCTGTGGAGCCCTCAGAGAGAGGAAGAACCCAGATCTGGTAGATTCCGGTCCCCAGATCCAGTGGGGAACAGGGCAGGCAGATTTACAGAGGCAGAGAGGTGACACATGGGGGCCAGAGCTGAGCTCTAGACAGTCGCTAAGCTGTAGGTGCATCAGAAGGCCAAGTGCAGTCTGTACCCTTGCCCCTTGGAGCCCCAGCAATATGGAATGGTGTGGCTCAGGTTGGTGGGTGCCCAGTGCCTCTACCCCCACCTCAGTCTCTTGTGGATGCTCACAGTCTCCTTCCTCCACAGCCCCACCCCACAGCGCCGACCTGTGTCCAGTGTGCACCCACCAGGCCGGCCACCTGCAGTGCGGGGTCCCACACCGGGGCCTCCTCTGATTCCTATGCCTGTGGGGGCCACATCCTCCTTCTCAGCACCCCCCATCCCATCCCGACCTGGACCTGTGTTTGCCAACAACGACCCCTTCTCTGCACCACCTCAGATACCATCTCGGCCAGCACGGATCCCCCCTGGAATCCCTCCAGGAGTGCCCAGGTAAGGCCCACAACCTGCATCCTGGGGTCTCTTTGTGGGGACTTTAACCTCTCCCCCGATTCTGATGACTTCCAGTGTAGCCCCAACAGGTCATAGAACAACACAGACATTCCCGCTTGTGTCCTGAGAAACTGAGCTCCAAAGGGGCCAACCCCTGCTTAGCCTGTGCCACACAGCAGTGTATCAGCTGGTGCCAGGGCAGGACTCATGTCTGACTAGCTTGGGGCACCATACCACTGCTGACCCTGCTGAAGTCAGCAATGCCTGGTGAGCCATGTTCTGGTCTCCCAAATCTGAGATCAGAGAAGCAGGCAAGGTGGCACATCTGGTGACTTGCTACAAAGGCTGATGGCCTGAATTCAGTCTCCAGGACCCTCTTGGTAGAAGGAGGGGACTAGCTCTTCCCAAGGCAGAGAACTTGCCTATAAACCCCAAAGCAAGCTAGTGACATGGGGATACTAGGAAAGTATCTGGATTTGACCTAGTCCCTTGTACCCCAACTCTGGGAACACCCTGGGGTGGGCTGGAAGGGCTGGGTCCCCATCCTCACCCTGATTCTGGCATCACCCTCCACCTCCCCATGTCTTTACTTTCTTTGCAGCAGAAGAGCGCCCGCTGCGCCCAGTCGGCCCACCATTATCCGCCCAGCCGAGCCGTCCCTGCTCGACTAGGCTGCAGGGGGCAAAGTTCTGGGGGGGTCCCCTCATGCACCCACAGTGCAGGAGAACTTTGGTGGTCTGGGCCCTGCTACTGCCCCCATGTTGGGACCAGGCTCCCCGTGGGCAAGCCCTGCCCTTTCTTCCCTGGCCCTAGTGGACACGACATGAGAGGGTGGGAAGGAGGCCCGCCACAGCACATGGGACTTTGCACTTTGGGACGATGGGACAAGGAGGAGCTCTGGTTAGCAGAACAGGACTGCGTCCTTGGGACCATCTGGAAAGATCCAGGCTAGTGTAGGGGGACTCTCCAGGGGCTCCTCCAGACTGTAAGCCTTTGTTCTTTCTGGGGTACAGCGACTGTCCACCATCCCTAAGGACTCCTCAGGCGTGAGCCAGGCCCAGTAGGCCCAGTGCTGGCCACCCACCTGGCTCAAGTTGTATATATCTATAGCTTCTTTGGCCATATTAACCTGAGCCCAGCCCTCTCCACACCCAGAGGTGCCTGTGTGCCTTCCTCGGGCCTGGAGCGCCTCAGCTACAGCCTGCCTCTCTCCTCAGCCCCAGTTGTGGTTTGGGCTGTTGAACTGGGGATACATTAGGGGCCTCTTGGCTCCCAACCAGATGTCCCCACAGGGTGGGCCCTGGGTGCCTCTGCAGATTCTGCTCACTGCTTGGACTGACCACTGTTAAGTGCCTGCCTCTGTATATCCTATTAATAAACTAAAATAAAGGGAAGCCCTTCTGGTGGTTACGTGTGTGGGCCTTTTGTGTGTGTCCCAGCCCAGGAGATTGAACACCCCCCTCCTGGGGCTGCCCACACTCACTCATTTACACATGTGAGTCTTGTGTCATCTGTTCTGCACCCCTCTCATCCCGCCCCCCCCACCACCAGGCCTTACACACAGTGCTCATGGGAAATGGGAATTCTACCCACTACTCCAAGTGATGCTATGGCCAGGCCCACTTCCAGTCCCCCACTAGCTCTACAGGGGACACAATTCAACTTTGCTTTATGATCTTTTTCTTTCGTGCCAGGCGACCACCTCCATCGGCTCCTGCCCGACCTTTCTTCTGAGCTTCGTGGGAGTGCCCCCCCCCTCCTGGCTGCCCCTGGCTTGAGGCTAGGTCTGTCCCAAGCTGACATCCCTGAGCCCCAGTCACCAGGCACTATTAACTTTTCTGACCATAATTTATTGACTCCAGTGCCCAGGACAAATGCCCTTTGTTCCTTAAGGCTCATAGGCCAGCTTTGGCAGAGCTGCACCTCAGCCTTATTTGAGGTCCTCTGCACCCAGAAAAGGAAGGGGTCCTCTCCTAGAGTTCTCTTACCAAACAACTAGCTGGCTTCCCTCTGGGCCAAGGGGCCAGGGCTCCTTCCTTTCCAATAAAAGTGACTGTCCTGGTAAGAACTCTGCAGATGTGTCTCCTTCCCAGACCCTAATAAAGTAGGCTTACCCCCAGGAGCAAAGCAGAGACACTGGGGTTGGGGTGTCTAGTTGGAGGACAGGGATGGCTCCACAGCCTGACCCCATCCTAATGGCTGAAGACTGAAGCTAAGGCACAATTTCAGGAGAAAACCAGGGCATCCAGGGGCAGTATGTCCCCACACTGCAGCGCCCAACACTTGCACCTTCCAAGAAACAGGCACTGTTGGTGATCCCTCCCGCTTCCAGGGGTCTGTGAGCCAATGGCACTCCCTGGTCACTGAGAAAGGGAGACACACAGGGCCACTGCTAAGGACCCAACTATGCACTGTCTCATCTGAGGCTGGGAGGTGTCCAGCAAGTCACACACCCGCTGCCCTCCACTGTTTCCTTCATCCTCCGTGGCAGGGGCTACGTGGGTACAGGGCGCTTGTCATGGAAGAAGCGCTTCAGTGTGCAGACCTGCAGGACGGCCACCAGCAGCAGCACAGCCATATTGGCAGCTGACCAGAAGTTGACCCGTTCAAGATTGTCTTCTTGAAGATTACGATCACGAGCCTCAAAGGCTCGGAGCAGAGTGAGCATCTGGATGCTCCGTTCCAGCCGGGTCCTCATGGTCTCTATGGATTCCTGCCAAGGCACAGAGAGGAAGAAGTCAGGCTGCTTACGTCTGAATCCCCCTCCTACCATGGACTGCCTCTGACTATCAGTTCATCTGACTCACATCTGCCAAGAGAAACCCAGCATTTTTTCCCTTTTTTACCCCTTGGAGTTTTCTTATTTTGGGGGGTGAGACTTTTCTTTTTAAGGGGGCACAGGGTGCACATGCTATGGGTTAAATGTGGAGGTCCAAGGACATCGTGCAAGAATCAGTTCTCTCCTTCCACCATGTGGGTCCCAGGTAGTCAGGCTTGGTGCCAATTGCCTTTGCCTACTGAGTCACTTTCACCACTCAAAAGCTTGTCTTTCTGTGGAAGCCAAGGATGGCCTTGAATTTGTGATCCTCTTGACCATCAGCAACCCCTACCCAGTCTGTGCAGCGTTCGGTGTAGCAGCTCAGGTGTGGGAGTGCCTAGCTAAGTGCTCTGCAGACTCAATTATCCCCAGCCCGCCCTTCTGATCTTAGGAGACGGGACCTTGCTCTGTAAATAAGGTTGGTCTTGAACTCACTGGAACCCTGCTTCAGCCTCCTCGGAACTGGGGTTGTAAGCACGCACTACCATACCCAACTCACCCTGATGTCTTCCATTTTGACATCAAGCATCTCTTCAGGCTCCACAGCCTCAGCCCATCCTTCTACCTCCTCCTCATCTTGGAAGCTGTCAAAGATGAGCTCAAAGAACACGAGCTTCTCTGAGATGGTGCTGAAGGAGTTGTCAAAGCACAGCCTGTAGTCTCCAGCCTCAGTTGGCTCCACCCTGGGCAGACAGATGAGACACAGACATGACCCTGGAGTGACCAGCCAGCAGGTCTGTGGAACCAGTAGGATGGTAACCTGAGGCCATTGGGAGCTGCAGGGCTGTAACTGAACCAAGGCAGGGCAGGACTTCACTCACGTGTGCACCCCATCAGCCTTTCGAGACTCACTGACCAACAGCACACCCTGAGGGCTCTCCAAGGTGAAGTCCACGTCCAGCCCAGCACCTCCGATCACCTGAAGAGCAGGTAAGAATTGGGAAACGGGCAGCTTTGAGCCAAGCCTATCTGCCACAGAAGGCCTGGGTCGAACCAAACTGAGAAAGATCCATGTAAGACCATCATGAGCCTATCTTTAAGAAGGAGAAAAAAAAAAACAACAACACAAAATCCCATGTATTTGCTTGGGGTAGAGGAGTGGCACCTGTGGAAATTAGAGGACAACTTGTAGGAGTCGGTTCTGCACTTCTACCATAGAGTTAGGGAACTCAGGTCATCAGGGTTTAGCAGCAAGCGTCCCCTCCCGCCCTGCCCCCAGCAAGCTATTTGGATCCTCAAGGGCCTATCTGAAGACCGACATCCACACCTACAAGGTCCCTTCCCGGTCCCTAAGACGCCTCCTGGTGAGGTCTTTCATCAAGCCACCCGCCACCCCCTTGAGCAGTCCAAGATGGGCGTCTACCTGGCCGCTAACTTAGGGATAACCTACCCAACAACCGCCAGGACCTTCCCTACAACCCAACCCAAAGAGCTTTGAGCAGAGCATACCCCTTCTCTGCAAGACCATAAGCATTCTGGCCACACCCCTGCCCCGCCCCTCCCGCCTTCTGGCCACGCCCCCAGTCGCCACTATTCCGAGCCCGGGACCCTCTAACCTGGTACTCGGTCTCAAGACTAGCATTGGCCGGTGCGGACTGATAAAAACACTGCTTCCTCCCGGCGGGAAGCAGAAATGTGAACTCGCCGTCCTGGATGGGCGGCGGCCCCGCCTCTCCCACTCCTACTGCTGGCAGGAGTAGCCACAGGGCCAGTGCTACGGCCACGCCGGCCGCCATCATCCGGTCTACATGGAGTCACCCTCTACTGACGGGGCGTGGATCCTTTAAGAATTGGTCCTGCCCACCTCTCATTCCTGCAAAGCTCATTGGCTTCGGCTTCTGTTCGACCCCAAAGCCGCGGAATGCTGAGTGAAGGGCCCCAGGGAGGCAAGCTGCCCGGGTAATTGCCTAATCTGCTAGAAAGCATACTATCACTACTGCGAATTTCGTGAAACTTCCCCAAGTCTCTGCTGTTAACCACCGGATTTGGTGGGGTAAATGACAGATCTAAAAATGGTGAAGCACTTCTTTACAGGCAAAAATTAAGATGACTAAATGACGCCATTTAGTTTGTAGGTCCTTCCGTGGGACCGCCTGCAGTCTGCCTTCCCCTAATTCAAGGTGCGTGTCGCCCATTGGTCAGTCATGTATAGGCGGAGCCAGACAAGGACAGCTGCTGTGTCGGATCCAGACTTGTGTAAAGGGTGCTTAAAGCCTTAAGATAGGCTGGGTGTTAGTACTCCAGTATTGGGGTTCTGGCAATCTTAGTTCAGTGAGCATGGCCTCCCCAGACTGCTGTCACTTTACACGATCCCTTATAAGGGGCTTGGTCTCTTCAGTTGGGGGTGATGAGATGTTTGTTGGGTAGTGATTAGAATGCTGGCTCATCCTGCATACAATGTGTCTCAAACCTTTGGGTCAACAGGTCCACGTGCATCTGTACCGACACATGCAGTAATTCCAGTACTTACAAGGCTGAGTCAGGAGATGGAAAGAGTTCGAGGCCATCCTCTCGAACTGGTGTGGAACTACATAGTTCCAGACCAGCAAAAATGGAGGAATCTATTGGGCTTCAAATGGCTCAGAGAATGGAGGTGCTTGCTGCTAAACCATTTAATGACCTTAGTTCAGTCCCCATGTAGTACAATAGTGGAAGGACAGAATTGCCTCCTGACCTCCATGCACACACACAGACAAAACGTCGTGCTGGGTAGTTGTTGTCCACTTAACACAAACTATTCTCCTGGGAAATTGTGTCTCACTTGAGGGATTTCCTTCTGGGCATTTTCTTCATGACTGATTGATGCTGGAAAGTCTAGCCACGGTAGGTGGTACCTTCCATGGGAAGGAGGGTTTGAGCTCTAGAAGAAAAGCAGCTTAAACAAGCCAGCAAGTCGCTCTACTCCATAGTTCCTGCCCTGACCCCATCACTGAGCAACTATGGTGAAGTGAGACTCGTGAGATACAGAACCTGTTTCTTCCCCAAGTCACTTTTGGTGATGGATTTTATCACAGCAGTGGAAACAAAGCTCGAACACACACAAAATACTATATAATAAAAAGAAATTGTGCCTTTAACCCAGCACTCAGGAAGGAGAGGCAGGTGAATCTGTGGGTTTCAGGCCAGCCTGGTCTGCATAGTTAGTTCCAGGTTAGCCAGAGCAGAAAAACCCTGCCTTGATTAAAAAAAAAAAAAATGAAGGGGGCTCTAGCTTGGTGGTAGAGCATTTACATAGCATGAGGAGGGTCTTGCATTCAACTCTAGGAACAACTCTACTTCAGGGAACAAACACACAAGCACCAACAAACCTCAAATGTCAGTGAGGCGACCCTGGATCAGGGAAGAAAAACAGGCTAGTTAATTTTGTCAACTTAGCACACTGGAATCAGCTGAGGTGAGAGTTGCAGTCTGGGGTTGCCTAGAGCAGGTCAGACTGTGGTGACTGCCGTGATTGCTACCTGAGACATGCCCACTGTGGGGAGTTCCCTGGATTTAGGTCCTCAACTGTGAGCATTGTGAGCATGTGTGTACTCCGAGCTCTGCTCCTGACTGTGGGTGTGATGTCATTAGCTGTCAGAAGTTCCTGTCACTCTGAGGAACTACAGCCTGGGATTGTGAGCTATAATAGCCCTGTGTCCCCTAAGTTTCTCTTGGTCGGAGTATTTCATCCCAGCAACAGAAATAAATGAGAAATAAATAAATAAACGCATACAGACATAGTCAGGAGAGCGGCCTTGGAGCACACACAGATGCCTGGCTCAAATCTCAACCTTTAACGGACTTTAAAAATCCATATTCCACCAAACTGGAAAATCTAAAAAAAAAAAAATGGATAATTTCTTGATATATACAACCACCAAAATTAAATACAGGAAATTTAAATAGAATGTGGTGGTTTGGTCGGGAATGACCCCATAGGCTCATATATTTGTATGCTTAGTCTCCAGTTTGATGAACTGTCTGGAAAGGATTGGATGTGGCCTCGTTGGAGAAGGTGTGCCTCTGGTGGCTCTGAAATGTCAAACCTACCCCAGGCCCAGTCATCAGTCTCTCTCTCTCTCTCCCCCTCCCCTCTCTCTCTCTCTTTCTGTGTGTGTGTGTGTGTGTGTGTGTGTGTCTCTGTGTCTGTGTCTGTCTGTGTCTCTCTCTCTGTGTCTGTCTGTCTCCCTCCCACCCTGTCTGCTGACTAACGTTGAGGATGTGAGACTGTCACCGACTGTTCCAGCTCTGTGTCTGTCTGCTCCCCCACCACACTGCTAATGGAGCACCCCTTTTGGAACTATACTAAAGCTCCCAGTTGAATGCCCTCTTTGTGAGAATTGCTTGAGACTGGAGAGATGGCTCAGGAGTTAAGAGCACTGGCTGCTTTTCCCAAGGACCTGGATTGACTTCCCAGAAGCCAGCGGGTGGCTCACAGCTGTATGTTACCCAGTTCCAGAGGGTCCTGTGTCCTCTTCTAGACTCAGGCAGCAGCACACATGCAACACATATGCACATCCAGGCAAGACACTTACATAAAGTAAAAACAAATCTTTAAAAAGAAAATGAACTCAACTTGGGCTGGAGAGATGGCTCAGTGGTTAAGAGCACTCACTGCACTTCCAAAGGTCCTGAGTTCAATTCTCAGCACCCACATGGCAGCTCACAACTGTCTGATGCCATCTTATGGTGTGTGAATGTACATGCAGACAAAGTACCCAATACATAAAATACAGAAATAAATCTTAAAAACAAACAAAACAAGATTGCTGTGGACATAGGGTCTGTTCACACACAGCACAGTGACCCTGAGACACAGACCTATAGTGAAACAAAAGTGGGAATTAACTCTCCCAACCAAAAGAAGTCCAATGCCAGATGGATTCAGTGCAGAATTCTACCAGAACTTCAACAAAGAATTAATACCAATGCTACACAAATTATTTCACAAAATAAAAACAGAAAAACATTGCCTAAATATTTCTATGAGGCTCCAATTTCCTGATGCCTAAACCATATGAAGACTCAACAAAGAGAATTACCATCCAGTTTCCCTTATAGACATATATGTACAAATGCTCATTAAATACTTAAAAACAAAATCCAAGATCACATCAAAAACTAATCATTCATCATGATCAAGTAGACTTCATCACAGAGATTCAGGGATGGTTCAATATATGTAAATTGATAAATCTAATCTACCATATAAACAGACTGGAAGACAAAGCCCATACCATCAGTAGATACAGAAAAAGCCTTTGACAAAAGCCAACATTCCTTCATGATAAAAGTCCTGGAAAGACAAAAGATGCAAGGAACAAACCTCACAATAATAAAGGTGATTGACAGCAACCACCATCAACCTAAACAGAACTTAAGAGCATTTCCAATAATGTCAGGAACAAAACAAGGTTGTCCTAACTCACCATATCTACTTAATATTATACGTCAAGTTTTTTTTTTCCCAGACAGGGTTTCTCTTTGTAGCCCTGGCTATCCTGGAACTCTAGATCAGGCTGGCCTTGAACTCATGGAAATCTGCCTCTCCTTCCCAAGTACTGGGATTAAAAGCATGCACCATCACCGCTCAACAGTGCTTGAAGTCTTAGCTAGAGCAGTAAGACAACAGAAGAGACCAAGTGGACACACACAGGAAAGGAAGAATCAAAGCATCTTTATTTGCAGACACTGTGATTTTATACATAAAAGACTCTAAAAGCCCCACCAGGAAACCTCAGCTGATAAACGCTTGGAGCAAAACAGGATACAAAGTTAACAGGCAGCTGAGTGTGGTGGAGAACTCCTTTTATCCCACTCTAGAGTCAGGCGGAAAGATCTGGGTGAGTTTGAGACCATCCTTTTCTGCAAAGTGAGTGCTGTGAGCCAGGGCTACACAGACAAACCCTATCTCAAAAATCAGGGGGCAGAACCCTTCCTCATTGATGTTCACTGCTGCTCTACAGTTTCTATGCCAGAAACAGAAACAGCCTACATGTCCATCAACAGCTAACTGGGTAATGAAAATGTGTTATATTTACAGAACGGAATATTACTCAGCAGTTTAAAAAAAAATGAGGCCGGGCAGTGGTGGTATACGCCTTTAATCCCAGCCCTTGGGAGGCAGAGGCAGGCGGATTTCTGAGTTCGAGGCCAGCCTGGTCTACAGAGTGAGTTCCAAGGCTATACAGAGAAAAACCAAAAAAAAAAAAATCATGAAATTCACAGGTAACTGGATGGAAGCTAAGGTGAAGTAAACCAGACCCAAAAAGATAAGTATGGTGTGTGTGTGTGTGTGTGTGTGTGTGTGTGTTAGCTTTTAAGCTTGCTACAACTGTTTAACCATAGAGGTCAGGAGGAGGAGGTAGGAGGAGAGGATTTTCCAATGAAGGGGTTAATGGAAATAAAACACATAGTTACAGAGAGATGAGGTGGGAGACACCAGGATGGGAAGATTAAATGGAGATGGGGAGGGGTGGAGGTGGTAAGGGCGGAGCTGGGGGAGGGGCCAACACTAATGCCATTTGAGGCTTCATATGGAAACCTACTACAGGAGAAGCCTCTTAAAATACACACATATATGAAGGAAATCGAAATGGAATCACCAAATACCAGGAGACAAAGCTCCAACCAGACGTCTTGATACAAAGTAAAACCTCCAGTGCCGGAAATCAGTTACATCTGATCCAGTTATTAGCCAGAGGAGGCCCAGTGTGAACTCCCAAACAACCTTGGCTATTGCCAAGGGATTGGTTGCTCTTCACAAACTGATGGTGAGAACTGGAAGACCATGCATATCTCACTGAACATGAGAAGAAATCAAGAAAT